AAAGGAAGGGATTTCTGTCAAAAGTCTAATGGAAAAGGTGAGGCCTGGGTCCGTGCCAGAAACATATAGGCGTAGACCCCAGTAAGCGCCTCGGGGACCTTCCCAGGGGAACCTTTTTCCTGTAGCTGTAAACTGGATATGCAGGAGGTTGCACCAACTGCGTGAACAAAGGGGGTTAAGTGGTGGTGGGCCATAAGTAAGCCGTCTGGCAGGGGGATTAAATCGCCTTACAGTTATGAGGTCCCAGGAAGAGGAGGGAAACTAAAAATCAAAAGGAGAAATGGAAAAAGTAGCAGGCAATGCAGTGTCATCTTTTGTTATCAACAGCATCTGAAAGAGAAAACAAGAGATTCCTCAGGGGCTCTTTCCCTGGGAGGGTTATAAAGCTTGACCAGTTTGTCTGGAAGCCAGCGCGTTTCTCCATTGCTGGTGTTATGAATGCAAGCATGTCCTTTTCCCCAGATAAGGACTGGGTGAGGACCAAGCCATTGGCCCGTGTGCACATCCTTCCAGAGTACCTATCGAAAGTTTTCACGGGTGGAAGGGTGCCAGAGCTGATCAGCGGCTGATCGGCCATTGTTGTCCAGAGAGAGAAAATTGAGCACAAAAAGTACATGATTTAAAAGTAGGCGATGCTTGCCTTTGCGAGCGTACAGGGTTTCACTTTCGGAAGAAAGCTTAAAGAGCATATTTTTAAAGGTCTGATTAGCTCGCTCTACAACTCCCTGTCCTTGAGGGTTAAAGGGAATTCCTGTTTTGTGGGTAATGCCAAATTTTTTACAAAAATCCTTAAATTTAGAACTAATGTACCCTGGGCCATTGTCAGTTTTAATGGCGATAGGGACAGGAATAATAGTAAAACAATGTAAAACATGGGCAATAACGTCTTTGGTGGCCTCTCCTGTTTGGAGAGAGGCACAAACAAAGCCACTAAAGGTATCCACCGTAACATGAATATATTTAAGATTACCAAAGGCAGAATAATGAGTAACATCCAATTGTCAAAGCTCACCAGGCACAAGACCACGGGGGTTGACTCCTGTATGAGGCTCAGGCAAAAGGGAGAGGCAAGCTTTGCACGATTTAACTATCTCTCGAGCCTGTTCACGAGTGATGGAATATTGTAGCCTAAGTGTTTGTGCATTAAGGTGATGTAACCTATGATCTTGTTGTGCTAACTGTAAAGAGTTAGACTGATCAAACACAAACCAAAGAGAGGTCAGAGGTAGCTTTTATGCATCTATGTGAAAGGTTTTTAGAAACCACCTTCTGTAGTGATTTGGCTAAGCTGATACATTCAACTTGAGACAATAAAATGGCAGAACAAATCCAAAGACATAAAGTGAAGGCTCTGTAATGGCACTGATCACACACACACACATACACACATACATACACACACATACAGCGGTTTGAGTGTAAAAGCTCCTTTAGTTTCAGACACTGGGTACCCTGACCACAGACAGTTTGTGTGGGGCTGAATAGAGCATGGATTTAGAACCCAGCAGGGTCACAAGGCTTTAGGTGCCCCTGTCACGGATGTATTATAAACGACAGTGTGACACAGCAGTGACCTCACAGGTTTAAGTTAAGGACTGGCTAAAGAAATGTAGCAATGGCCTGGTAACACTAGCTGGGCCATTTAGAAGCTGTCCAACCTGACAAAGGCCACATGGAATTAGAATGGCATACTTTTGGGGGCCTGACCGATCACAAGAAAACTAAACAGACCAAAAGTGCCACAAAGACTCCTAACTAATACGTTTACATTCAAGCCTTCTCTTTAGGTCTTAAAGAGCATGCTGTTCAGAGGTGGAAAACTTTTTGTTGGAAAGTCAGACAAGGCCAGTCCACAGTGCTCGAGAAAGCAGAGTCTAGTCCGCACACTCTAGCATATAATACTGAAATGTGTTGGGATCGTAGAAGCAAGGCAATGTCCCAGCACAAGATCAGTGCAATTTACAGGATCAACATGCCTGCCACAGGATGCCCATGACAGAGCTACACGTGTACTGTCTATGGTGAGCCAGCCAGCACAGTTACTTTGGGGAAGGGTTTAAAACATAAACAAAATGTTTGTATTTGCAAATGAGGCATATGAACACCAAGGGAGTGTAACATCTACTCAGGGCACATTTCTTTTTTCATAGGTGTGAAAAATGAGTTAGGGAGAGGTCACAGAAAGGTTGCTTATGGCATGCCAGGGACTACTGGGATTGTCCACTGCCTGTGTAGCAAAATGCCCATGAAAAGTCCTTGTAACAATCCAAGAGGTCAGGGCCATGCTGAGGGCCCTGAAGGTTCGTTCCTGTGACCAGCCAGCGCTACCACCACAGGGACTACCAAGAGAGGCTACCTAGCCTCTAAGGACTCCTAGACACTCAGGGGTCCCAGCTGTTAGCTGAATGACTCTAGGCTGATCTACCTTTAACACATTGTATCAAATATAGAATTTGATTGAAAAACTGCTTGTAAAAATAAAATTTAAATCACCCTGTAGATCAATGCAAAAGCATACCACACCGATACATCTATAAGAAAAACAATTCATCCAGAAAAACTACATCTGTGGCTTCCAAAAATAAAGCATCCACAAACCTGATTTCTTTTTGATAACGAAAATAGGGGTATTCCAAGGAGATGTGGAGAGTTCTATATGGCCAGCATTGAATTGCTCCTGCACAAGCTGCTGGGCTGCTTCTAATTTTTATTTTTGACTAGAGGCTATTGTCCTACCCAGACAGAATCATCATTTATCCAGGTGATTTTTATCTGCCGGGGCGGGGATGGGGTGGGATGGGGTACAGGGGAGGTAGTAACCACTACTGAATTTTGAGCAGGTGGGCTATAGCCAAGGCCCGCTCTATCATCGGGATTTTGGCGAGCCGCTTCTTCGGCTCAAGCTGCCTGTCTAGTGCGTGGTTGCCCCTGTGGCGCAGGAAGAGGTCTAGCAGGGAGAGGCGGTTCAGCTCCCTACCCTTCAGGGTCAAAAAGAGGGAACTGGAGTTTACGTGATGCCGAGGAGAGGAGCTGAGAGCTTGAACGAGAGAGGAAGCAAGAGAATCAACAGTGGAGGAGTATTTGGGAGCAAAAGGTTGAGGAAGATCAGGGACCTAGGAAGGATCGTAGGCAGGAGGTCTCGTGGCCAGAGAGACCTCACGCCCGAACCCGAAGGTATGCGGCAGCCTCTTCCTCTAGCTCCTGGGCGTCCCCAGGATCGAGAGGTTCCTCAGGAGGAGCAGAGGCGACAGCCCATAGGGAGGGGTAGATACAGGTGGCTAGAGATCGAACTTTAGGGGCAAATGAAGTAGGTTGATCAGAAGGAGAAGGAGGAAGCTTATCAAAGTCAGAATTAGCAGAGGAAGAGGAACAATCTTTAGAAAGATCAGCGACAGAACTTGCTCTGGAGCTGGCACGAGAGCACCCTCGGGAAGCAACCTCTAGATGTTGTTGGGCATCTTTAAGAATTTGTTCATTTCGGGGGCTTTCCTCCGCGTTAACAATGATACCTTTTAAGAGATCCCAATACTGCTGCAAAATCTTTTTATCGCTTTCAGAGCCTTTGGTTTCGAAATAATTAGTTAATTCGGCCCCGACTTGTTCCCAAGTACTGCAAACTATTTTTGGACAGGTAATGACAAATCAGGGACAGACTTCATGTACAAAAAGCAAAAACTTAAGTAAATCTTTTTTCTTAACCTCAATGTTTCTATCTCTTAATTCTTTCTGAATTCCTTTAATAAATATGGCTTCCTTATTTTTTTTTAACCTCAGTGTATCTATCTCTTAATTCTTCTTGAATTCCTTTAATAAATCTAGCTTCTTTGCTGATACTAGTCCCCATTTTCGCGGGACGGATGGGACGGCGGTGTTAACCTAGGTCATTAGACTAACCCTACTCTGCGCCACCCGGATGGGGCTTACCTGACGCCTTATGAGTGGGCTCCGGACTCGTCGCGCCTCTGCCGTCCGATCGGTGGTCTGTAACTCGTGCCCCACGTTGGGCGCCAGTTGCGACCCCCGGGAAGGGACCCCCGACCCGCGGGGGTGAGGTGATGAGGGTCGCTACTAATTTAGTGGGTCTTCACGAGCAGATCCGATCTGGAAAGTGAACTTCAAGAGGTTAATGGAAACAGGCTCAAGACAACGTTTGCTGATCAAGAGCCTTTATTTTTTGGGGCGCGCTGGAATTTATAGAGGAAGGACCTCAGGGGGTGGTACAAGCATGTCAATCAAGTCTCAATTCAAATATACACCAAATACGGTAAAGACAAAGTTGTAATTTTCCATCAGTCATTAGTTACATTCCACAAATGCTTGTCAGTGTAAGTCAGGTGCAAGAATTAGGGAAGGATAGGAAGTGTACAGCAGAACACTATAATTTTGTTAACAAAGACAATTACTCTGTAAGGGTACTTCCCTCTGGCTAGGCGGGTGGGCTGCCCTGTGTAAATTTAACTTTTATGGTTAGCCTTTTCCTTTGTCTCAAGGGCATGTGTGCTCGCAGTCACGTAGTCAGAAGGCCAAGAAACGGTTGACAGACTCCATTTTGTTCAAGGTTCTAGCAGTCCCCAACAGAAAACAAGGCAGGTGAAATAATGTCAAAATTATTTTACTTGCCAAACCACACTTTAAAAGTTTTCTAAATCAAGAGGTCTTGTATATGCATAAGAATGGCACAAAAATTAAAATATTTATTAAAATTTTTAGTGTATTTCAAGTTCTCAGTAATATTCTATAAAAATGCTTCCAATTCTTCATGTTTCTTGATTATATAATAATCAACCACATGAGAAAATTTAATGACTCTTATTTGAAACATAATTTTAATTTACTTTTTACAATGACAATTTTATTTGGTTAGAAATGGTTCTCCTTAAATCTCCCAAGCAGAGTTCAAACCCACTATGCAGCCTAAAGTTTACTCAATGTTGCAATCATCTAAACCTCCACTGCCCTAGTGATGGAATAAAAGGCATGCACCAACAAGCCTAGTACAACAAAAGGTTTTATCCTATGTACACTTGCATATGTAAGTAAAATTATGTAACTGCTGGTCTCATATTCTCTTGATTTTTCTTTATACTTTTCATTCCTTGCAATAACAGTAAGCTGGCTACAAAGACTCCCATGATTTACATTGGTATTACTTCTATCCACTGGATTTCTTTTCGTTGTGAGTTCTTTCATGTTGGTGAAGATATGTAGAACATGTGAATGCTTTGCCACATTGTTTACATACGTATGGTTTCTCTCCAGTGTGGTTTCTTTCATGTATTTGAAGGGACTTTGAAAAAGTGAATGCATGCCCACATTGCACACATACATATGGTTTCTCTCCAGTATGAATTCTTTCATGATTGTAACAAGCCCTATGTTGGATGAAGGCTTTCCCACATTGTTTACATGAGTAAGGTTTCTCTCCAGTATGAATCCTTTCATGTTTGTGGAGGTATGTGGAACATGTAAATGCTTTCCCACACTGCTTACAAACATAGGGTTTCTCTCCAGTGTGAATTCTTTCATGAATATAACAGGCACTGGAATAGGTGAAGGCTTTCCCACAATGTTTACATGAGTAAGGCTTCTCTCCAGTGTGAATTCTTTCATGGATCAAAAGCTGAGAGGAACGAATGAAGGCTTTCCCACACTGTTTACAAACATAGTGTTTCTCTCCAGTGTGAGTTCTTTCATGATTGTTCCGGGTTGTGGGATCACTGAAGGCTTTCCCACAATGCTTACATAAATAAGGTTTCTCTCCAGTGTGAATTCTTTCATGTTTACGAAGGTATGAAGAACGACCAAATACTTTCCCACACTGCTTACATGCATAAAGTTTTTCTCGGGTGTGACTTCTCTCATGTTGTAGAAGGTGATAAGAATGAATGCATGCTTTCCCACACTGCTTACATACATAAGGTCTGTCTCCAGTGTGAGTTCGTTCATGATTGTAACAGGCTCTTGGATGGATGAAAGCCTTTCCACAATACTTACATGCAAAAGTCTTCTCTCTAGTATGAATTTTATGATGTTTGATAAGGTGACTGGAATTAATGAAGGCTTCTCCACACTGCTTACACACAAATGGTTTTTCTCCAGTTTGGAGTTTATCATATGACTGAACATAACTACATGTCATAAGAGCTGTTTCAAACTGCTTATATTCATGGAGATTATCTCCATTATGAGTTGTCTCATAATCTTGTTCAGAAATGAGATTCCTACAATGTTTATTAGATAGTTTATTTTCACAGGGGTTCTCTCTGGAAGGATTCTCAAGGGTAAGAAAGGACTCAAAATATGTAAAATTTTTCCAAAATTTCTTATGTTTAAAAGGCTTTTCCATATGTTCCTGATACTCATACGGTTTCTCTACAGTTGAACCTCTCAGGTGCATATCTGGCTGTGAAAGACCAATGGCATCATTTTCACACACACTGTTTTCATATACTACTATTCCTGGAGGCATGTACTCATTAACAATATGCTCTCGAATCCGTTGGTGGGCTTCTCCATACTGAACGCCATGTTGAAACTCATAGAATCCTTTAACCTCATGAGTGCTGCAAGAAAAAAAAAAAGAAGAAGAAAACGGGAAGAATATTACTACGGTTTTATGACTAGTCAAGAGAGGTGTCGGGGGCTGTGTATCTGGGCACACACTTGCTACTGCAGCATTTAGAAGGCCAGGGAGAAAGATTGCAAGAGCAGAGGGACTGCAAGTTCGAAGCCAACAGAGACCACATAGAAAGACCTCATCCTAAGGGAAACAAGAATGCTGACTATTGCCACAAGAATTTATGAACCTAAAAGGAATGAACAATTATCCACAGGACCTGAGAACAACATACAATCTTAGTTTCTCTAATATCATTACAAAAAAGAATGGGGAAAAACATGCAGAAACCATGTTCAGCTCATGTCATGCTTTGCTCTTTAACTATTCTTGTTTCATGGTTGGCTCATATGTGATTTTTTTTTTTTTTTTTGGTTTTTCGAGACAGGGTTTCTCTGTGGCTTTGGAGGCTGTCCTGGAACTAGCTCTTGTAGACCAGGCTGGCCTCAAACTCACAGAGATCCGCCTGCCTCTGCCTCCCAAGTGCTGGGATTAAAGGCGTGCGCCACCAACGCCCGGCCCATATGTGAATATTTTTATGCAAAATGGCGCAGGGTCAGGTTTTATGGAATTGGGATAGCTGAGTTTTTTTAATGCAGCTATTGAAGGTAGGTTACAATATATCTGAAACATACTTCTGCTCACATATATCTTATATTCAAAGCTTAAAGGTAACTTGGCAAAAATATATTAAATAATTTTGTGCACAAAGGGAAGTTTTTGTATAATGAAAGAATCGGAAAAATGTCTCTATAGCTTAAAGTTGCACGGTATTGCACAACATTACACTGCAGAGTTGGGGTCCTTCAATTCTGAATGTTGAAGTTCAATGTAGTTTTAGATTAAATCAATTTACATTTAGCTGTACTTGGATTATTTACTTGGGTCTCAGGTTTCCTACCATTTTCATATGCAATGTAAAGTCGTCTTTCTTTGAGTGTAAATTACCTCAGATTTCTCCTAATATTTTGGTAATCCTCTCCAATATTTTCTTCTTCGGTTTTCCCTGAAAGGTAAACCCAAGGAAAGTATTATTAAATATTACACTAAATATCAATACCTTTTAGCCGCCCATGACATAATGTAACAAAGCATACAATATTCACCAGTGACTTTCCTTTTAATATTTCAAATTATGCAATTATAGAGAAGGGCAAGAAACAGTTATTTCTCTGAATGAACAAGGAAAAGAATCATGCTGTATTTTTTTACCTATGGAGATCAGGTTGCTAAAGGTCTCCTTCATCACATCTCTGTAGAGCTCCTTTTGATAAGAGTCCAACAAAGCCCACTCTCCTAGGGTGAAGTTCACAGCCACATCCTCAAAGGTCACTGGCTCCTAAAATAATCCACATACAAGAGTAACGGTGAAAAAACCCTGGAGGGACAGACTGACTTGATTGCTCCACTTCATGTTTCATTCTTCATCTATTCCTTATACATCACAGCGGGCACTGCTTTTTACCACTTAGAAACAGAAAATACACATTTCCTATTTATTCTAACTCTCACATTATCACATAATTCTCATGCTAGTATGGAACTGTATGATAAATGAACATGACCACCTGTTGTGATATTTCCCTTGATACTCTTTGTACACTGCATCTTTAGTAATTTGGTACCCACCAGAGTGGATACCAGTTCTAGGGAGCCGGTATAGATTTTAGAAATGTCTATTTGTCAATAGAAGTGAATTATGAACCCTGGAGACATCTCCTGAAATAGACACAAACAGCATAACTGTAAAGGCGGAACCACTGCCATGCAATACTTTATAACAACATAGTATTTTATATACTACTAGTATCTTTCCAACTTTTCACCTATTTCTAAAACACTAAGAGATTAAAACCCCAATGAACTTTGGACGAATTCTGTCCTATCAAGACTATGAATGTGTCAGGCATGGTGGTACACACATTTAACCAACACATAGGAGGCAGAGGAAGATGACTCTCTTGTGAATTCGGGGCCAGCGTAGTCTACACAGCAAATTCTAGGATAGCCAGACCTACATATGTAGTGAGATCCTGACTGTGAATGTCAGCCCTAAACAGAACATTGAATCAGTGCCCCCATACCAAAGGCTAAAGAAACATCCCAGAAGAGGTGGAGAGAATTTTACAGCCAGAGGAAGAGAGGAGTGCTATACAATGATGACTTCTGCAACCAATCATCTTAAGACATATAGGAACTAAGATTCTTAGGCCCGAGTAAAGAAAGCAACATGCAAAATATATTTCTTTTTAAAAAACTGGTGTGGTTGTGTGCCCACTTTTGGTAGCTAGAAGAGGGTGTTGGATCTGTTGTGCGGCACCAATTCTGAAGAGACATGAACAAATGTCTACTCACCCCAGACAGGGAACTGATGACTGCCCCAAGCAAGGATCTCACCAAAGTCAAACTTGATGAACCAATGCAGTTTTTTGGGATTACTTACAGGAATATGTGTGAGCAGAAATGCCCAAAAGACCTTTGCATCACCAAAAGCCCATCCCAGCCTGGGTGATGGCTCAAAAAAGTTGGAAACCTGTAGTATACTGCGCATGGCACAGGCAGCTCAACAGTATCTTTTCACTAGTTGGTCTGAGCCTCTACCAGGCATCTCTGGACTAAGTAGTTTTCTGCAGTCTTTACTGTATATATAATCTTGGAGAACAAGGGGCCTAGCGAGTTTTGTCAGTTTAGGGAAGGTCCTGAGGCCTTAGCATTGTTTGTTTTAATGGGCTTCCCAGGGGGATGAAATGTCTCACCTGTTTTCAGAGCATCCTGGTTCTTAATAAGCTTCCTCCATCCAAGATGAGGTGTCTTGTGTCAGAGGAAAGTGGTACCCACCAGCATCCCCATGTAACCTGATATGGACACTGGGAACCAAACTTGGATCTTCTGGATAAGCAGCAAGCAAACTTAACTGCTGAGCCATCTATCCTGCACCTAAAGTGTTTTCTTTTGAGAACTAACGGACAGAAAGAATTGATGCATGTATAAAATTCACACCACTGTCATTTTGTGTAATATGAACTTCAATACAATCTACAGTTGATACATATTTCTCTAATGTCTGGTAAATGTAGTTTCTATTTATATCCGTTGCCACACGCACGACTTTTTACATTTCTAAAAAGTCACCTTGAGAATGTCCTAAGAACACAGACACAAAACCATATAAAGAAGCGGTTTGAATCTAACCTCAGATATAAGCATGCATAAAACATATCAAAGCAAAGAAAAAGCCCAGGGTGCTTTTGTTTGTAAAGCATGCTGAACATTACAAGTTAAACCTCTAAGAACAATGCTGAGTGTTGGCCAGCAAGGTGACTTAATGGGTAAATGTGCTTACCACCATACCTGATGACCAGAGTTCAACCCCAGGGACTCATGTTATAGGTGATATCCAGTTTCTGCAAGCTATCCTCTGAACCCACCATACATACTGTGGAATGTGTATACACATATACACATTACACACACACACACACACACATACACACACACACACACACATACACGTAATAAAAGTTTAAAAAAGGAACACTGCATAGTATAAAGTCACATGCAGGGACCAGCACAAATGCCTCAGAAGGTAAATGTGCCTGTCACAAAGCCCAGTGTCTTGAGTTTAATGCCAGGAATCATGTACAGGGAAGAGAGAACCAAGTCTTATAAACTGTCCTCTGACCTCTAAATACAAATTCACATTTACATTACAAATAAATAAGTAAGCTAATGTAGTAACATTTGTTTTTAAAGGCACACTTAGAAGACATAGAAAAGCAAACAAAGATAAGCAAGGATGAATCAAGCAGGCTGACATGAACAAATACCTAACGTCAAGATAGAAATTTTATTTTTGAGGTGGCACCCCAATACATAGCCCAGGTTAGTGTTACATTTCACCACATTCCTTTCCCATCCCCTCAGTAGTTACTGCAGACATATACAACCACTAGTCATTAATTTTGATGGGAATTCTTAGAAAATCAGTTATTTAAAAAATCTTAGCCGGGCGGTGGTGGCGCACGCCTTTAATCCCAGCACTTGGGAGGCAGAGGCAGGCAGATCTCTGTGAGTTCGAGGCCAGCCTGGTCTACAGAGTGAGTTCCAGGACAGCCTCCAAAACAACACAGAGAAACCCTGTCTCGAAAAACCAAAAAAAAAAAAAAAATCTTCGAAGTGTGATTTTGATATATCCATACTACCAAGTTGAATACAAAGGTTTGGTGTACTTTCTGTAAATACATGCATTCCCCCTTAGATGCCAAAACCTTTTGGATTGGTCTCTTAAGCATGCAAAACAGGTCTCAGTCATCATGGTTCTAACTTTTTCTTTCTTTCTTTCTTTCTTTCTTTCTTTCTTTCTTTCTTTCTTTCTGAGTATTCTTCCTTTGTAACTGCAGTTTCTTGTCCCGACGGGTCCCACAGTCGCTTCGGTCCCAGATAAGCACACAAAGACATATTAATTATAAAATGTTGGCTGATGGCTAGGGCTTCTTATTGGCTAGCTCTGTCTTAATTATTAACCCATTTCTATTAATCTATGTATTTCCATGTGGTCTTGGCTTACTGGAGAATGCCTGACCTGTCACCCCTTTGGTGTCTACATGGCGTCTCATCTTGACACTTTTCTCCCAGCCTTCTCCTCGTCTCCTAGCCCCGTCTATCTTCCTGCCTCTATTGGCCAAACAGGGTTTTATTCATCAACCAATAAGAGAAACACAGAACAGAAGAATATCCCCGTCACCCCTTTATTTCCCGCATGTACTAATTCATCAACCTTGCTTATAGCATTTGAAACTCTGCTTTTTTGGTTGGTATAGTCTATGGGGTTTTTGTTTGTCTTGTATTTTATTTTCTCTAAAGACAGGGTCTCACTAAGTGGCACAATTTGCTATGTGGACCAGCCCCCCACAAACTCATTGCTTCTGATTCCAAGTGCTAGCACCAAAGCTGTATGTAACCACTCCCAGATATGGGTAACATCTTGACTAATTTTTAAAATTTGCTTTATTTCATCATTAATTTTGAAAATTTACTTACCTCTAAAGATCTTTATCTCAGGGCTGAGGAGATAAATAAAAACAGTACTTGCTGTTTAAGCATGAGGAGAAAAAAAATCTGGTATGGCTTTAGGTACCTGTAATCTTAACCCTGGGGGTGGGGGCTGACTCTGGGGCTCTCTAACCAACTATCCAAGCTGAACAGGTAGAGTGACAGAATCTGACTTTTGGAACCAAAGAACAGATGGCACAAACTGACATAATCCTTTGGTCACACACACACACACACACACACACACACACACACACACACACACACACACACACACACAGGCTGGGCTGTGGTAGGCAGCCTTTAATCCCAGCACTCTGGAGGCTGAGGCAGTCAGATGTCTGTGAATTCAAGGCTAGTCTGGTGTACATAGTCAATACAGGACAGCCAGGGCTGAAAAAACAAAACCAACCAACCAATCAAAAAAAAAAAACCCAACCCAAAACAATACAACAACAAAAATTATAAAATGAGACATCTTAATTCTTTCTTCAACATCTTATCCAATATGGTAAGTCTGGATTCAGCTAGTAAAGAGCTGTGAACTTCTGGAAGTTATACTTGTAGGGAGATACCTCACATATCCGCAACACTGACCATGCCCCGGCCTGGTCACAGGTACCTGGGGAGAGCAGTGATGAAAGGGGCTCGCTTGCTCCAAGTTCTCCTGGGGCTGCTTTTGTGGAGACCAACAGAGCGCTGAGCTCAGTTCTCGTCTTCTCATGTAAGTGACTTCTCTCTCTCTCTCTCTCGGAAGGTATCATAGTATCATACCAACCCTTCCCCGTATCTGTGGCGTGGCTCATTTTCCATCTTCACCTGGTGTCAGAATTGTGGGGAAGTAAATTCACCCAGCCCCCACACTTGAGCTTGGTGGGCAAGCGCACCGCCACAGCTATTGCTCCCAGAGTCCCTGCTTCCTGCTAGCGGACGGGGTCCCAGTTCTGCCGCCACCGTGGAACTACGCTGGCTCAGCCAGCCTGGAAATAGCTGCAAGCATCGCCACCAGGCCAAAGACTGCCAGCATTCCCAGAGACCACAGCGCTAGCCCAACAAGCCCGGTTCTCGCAGAGGTTTTGGAGTGAGTGTCCAGTCTTACTCTATGCCAGTATTTTATGCAAAATCCTTTAGAAATAATTCCCAAACAATTTCCACAACCCATAATCTACCATTATATGGATGACATACTGCTGGCTGATTCGAAAGAAGGAACGTTGGAAAAGATGTTTGAAGCAGTAAAGGAAATTTTACCTTACAGGGGATAACAGATTGCCCCCCAAGAAATAC